CATTGAAGCCAGGTCAAGTGGGTATTATTTGCAAGTATGGGTGTTCTTTTGCATATGCCCTCTCTTCTTGTCAACTGGATGCTTCACTCTTCACTCTAGTCCTCTGTGGCTAAGTCACTAACTCTGGGCCCAAGAATTCACAAACTTTTTGAAGTTTCCTTGAATGAACAGATTCCTATGCAGATGAATTTAGCTTTCTGGTTATGAATGAAGTATCACAAATCTTATTGTCAATGCTGACCATTGGAAAGATGGCTAGAGGGAACTAAAGGGGAATGTTTCATTTTTAACTTAATATCTTTCTGTATTGTTTATATTTTCAAACTTGTCCTTTATTTCCTGTAATTCAAATATGTGTATTATTCTGGAAGTGGTAAGAAGTACATCTTGTTTATGTGACTTTGTGTGTTTGTCTGTAGCTAGATATTGATTGAATGATTTTTCCTGGGATTAAATGGGAACTGGCTTGATTTTAGTGATCTTTGTGATTATACCTTAATATCGCCATTGTTGATATTGTTAAGTGCCATTGATTTTGTTCTGATGACTCATAGCTACCCTGTATAGGGTTTTCCAAGGAGTGACTGGTGGGTTTGACCGTCTCATCTTGTTATTCGAATTGACCTTGTGGTTCAGTGCTTATCCTACAGTGCCACATCAGTACTTAAATGTCTCCATATTAAGGAGACATTGAAAAAGAGTATTTGGAAAGCACTACAGTGGCTTATGCTACCTGATTCACATTTGACAGTCATAGTTAAGGGATATGTAATTGTATTCTTGGCCTTAAACTGAATGAAGAATTTAATAGCTTCTATGGAGTCCTGGTGGAACACTATAAGATAAGCACTGAACTGCTAATTTAAAGGTTGGTGGTTCAAAGCCGCCAGCCATTCCTCAGAAACCCTATATAGGGTCACTATGAGTCACAGCTGACTTCATGGCATTTAAGAGAAACAATGTGGTATTATGGAATATTGTTTTCAGATTTGAATTCCTCTGTGGCTCTATTTCTTCATCTATAAAATAAGATAAACTGTATGCTTATTTTGAGCTAGGATTGAAATAGTTTAGAAATTCCAAGTTGCCAGTCAGTTCAGTTGATCATAACCTTGATTAAAAATGATGATGAATAAATTTATTAGATTTTCAGTAGATGATATAATTAACCTTTAAGATGATAACAATATAGTTAAAAAGAGCTTGATAATCAGAAAAATAAAATAGTTTCATAGGAATCAAATCTACTTTACCAAGGGAAATAGTAATGTAAGGAAAAGAACATTACCCAAGAAACCAGAAGATACTATAGTAATCTCAGATCTTCTATTGAATTCAGTGTGAACTAGACCCAGTTATGCAGAGGGTACTCTTTGGCTCTTATTTTTCTTATACAAAAGGGGATTGTAAGAATTACAGAAGATTAAAACTGGAAACATGACTAGTTATGTAAAAGCACAATATATATGTATTTT